AATATCCAAGTTTTGTATTATTAGTTTCTTGTGATCAGCGCTGCTGTAATATTTCTTATGCAAAATTCACTTTAGATTTGCATAAAAATAATATCACCGAAATCGAAATTTTTTGAAAAATTTTGCCTGACTCAAAAAATACATAATTTTTAGTCACTTTCTGCATATCTTGCGTTTTATTAAGTAATACCGAAACAGTGTCGTTTTAGGAATTCTCACCTTTTGTTGTTGCTGTAAACAACTATAAACGTCAACACTTGATTTTTTCATATTCTCGCCATCATGTGGGTCGAACTTTGACTTTTGTAATTTTTTAAAAGGTTGAGGGTTTTTCTTTTAACTTTGCGTAAATTGGTCATAGTTTTTCTTTCGAAAGACGATTTTCAATTGGAACATAACACATGGCTACGAACTAAAAGTTTAGTTTTTGTGTTTGACTCGTACACGGCACGACATATTAAATGTGAATGATTCGCTGTAATGAACTGGGTCTAAGCCTTATAGTCATTCTATTGGCTTCAGTACTTAACTGAGCAAAATTACATCATTCAACAGGCCTACAGCAGCAATTAAGTCTAAAACACATCAGCTGTAGGAAGCTTAAGCCGTGGATGTTTATCTTCAATTTATGATGCTAAATTCCTTTTCTCCATTTAGAGTAATTTTTTATTATTTTCCCCACATATTGACATTTATATTGTACAATAACCTTTCTCATAAATTGCGTAACAATACTACATACAACGCATGAGTGACTAATGTCAAATACACGTGCAACATTCCACTGCCCTAAGTCAAGTTTACGATTAAAGCTTTTGTATTGTGCGTTGTATAATTTTATTGCTTTGGGCTGGGCATTTTAGGAATATTTGAAATTATTTCTATGCCGGTATGATGAACTGAAATCTATAAATCTGTTTAATATACAGTGTATATCAGTTTTAACTGAATTTAAGTCATTTCAAAAATAATTACATATTGCGAAAGCTTACCCGAGGCTGCTTTTATTATGTTCAAAAAAGGTCTTAGATCGTTGTAAGTGGGTTTGTTATGGTGTATTCTGTATTGTTCTTTCTAGTTAATTTGGTTTTTGGACGGAAATTTATTGGTTTGTCAATGACTGCAAACGTTGAATTCGAAGAAAATGGTATACCTCAGAGAACAAGACTTTCAAATAATTAGAACGTACTAGTTTTTTGTTATAAATATGATCAAACAAACTAAGTTTTGAGCTAAAAAGCGGACGTGAAAAAATACACGGTATATTATATCAGTTATAGTTTTCTACAGTATATAATATCATGTCTACCAACCATTTTCCTTAATCTTGCACTTCTATAATAAAAATAAAAATTAAATACAAATATCCTTGGAATTTTCTTTCATGTGCCAAGATTACTGTTGAAATGCAATAAAATTTACGACCAATATCAGTCTCAGTGTATACACTTCAAATATAATAAAGGAGTGTTTTGTTTACCAAACTTATGAGACATATTGATGTAAACAATAGCTTTGGAATCAAATTCATGAAAATTATAAATAATCGTACTTGTGATAATGAAAATTTGTGGGATGTTGGTTGCTGGGAGGCACATAATGGCTCAACTGTATATTTTTCACGGAATTGGACGTGATTTTTTCCCGTACTAGTAATAATCGCAATGACTAATATTTATATGTTTGTTTTTGGGTGAAAATTAATGCTTATCTGCTGATTTGCAAAAAAAAATGACTGAGAGATTTTATATTTTAGCCTGTGTGTAACCTCTACCTTCAAATTTTAGTAAACCCGTTTTGGTTCAAATCCCATCACTTCGCCCAGGATGTAAAAATTTGAGCAATATCGCATCGGAAAGATTCTGATTGTAGCTCCTTATTTAACAGTAGCCGCTTGCGCTGAACATTGTTCATCGTATAAAAATGTCGTATAAAAAACAACAACCTTCAAACACCTTTGAGTTGAAGTTTCTATTTTGCATTCGCGTGGTTAGGTGATAAGATTTGTTTAAAAATATACTTGCACTAAAATTGACAGAACAACTGATAAAGTAAAAATCAACAAAATATGAGTGTATTTCAAGACACACATTTTTCCACGAATGAAACAACGTGATCGGACTATTTGGCGCCTTCATTCTGATTTAAGTTAAATCGAGTTGTTTCACGCAACAAACAATGTGCGGATTATACAAACGGTCCGTCAGGTTATGTTTTTTAAATAGTTATTTGTGGTTGAGCTATTGCAAGCCTTAATTAAACAATGTTATACAAAGTAACAAATTTTTCGGAGCAACTTTCTTTCCTGAACAAAGTATAAAGCCCATGGTACCAAATCATATCAATCGGGGTTGATAATATGGTTTGGAATAGACTTCGTGTTAGCCGGCACAAAAAAAAATTATGTTTGATTCACCAGGGGACGGAGTCTCGTTCCCATCCAGCGAGGCAAACTTGGATCCTTGCGTCACATCAACAAACTGAAAGGTCAAATTAATTTAAGTTTTTCATTTTACCACCTCAATTCGATAGGGTTATTATTGTTTAAAGTTGCCTCTATATTTATAGAGTTCGTCATCATTATGAATTTCAGTATTTCAAATGAGCATATTGCGAGTTAAACTCCATTCACGCTGAGCGGCTAATCACTATGAGTTACAAAGATAGGTGATTGTCTCATACATTCATTACAAATAAAAAATGGCCTCTTCATAATCCCCAATAAATCCTGAAACCACATTATGACCCTAGATTATCAGCTCCAAAACCATGAATATCGAATTACCGAGTAATATACGCAATAACAAAAGTATTACATGAGTTTTGTAGTTAATCAGTTACAGCAATCCTCCAAGACTGTTCGTATGCAACGAGCGTTAGATTCAAATTATCGGTATGTGCGACCCACGATAATTCTCAATAAAATGATTGACTGCGTGATTCCAATCATGAAAGAGAAGAATAGTAGCAATTTTTTTGATTAATTCTACATATTTGTCAACAGTAATTTTCTTTTTCACGGTGAATATAAATCACTGCATTATCTTTTGGGTGATTTTTTTCAACGCACGGTTGCTAGGCAGTAATGGTTATTAATGACTTGGGGCATATTTGCCTATGGGTTTTCGAGGGGTGGATTCTTGTGGGTTCATAACTATTAGGGGTATAACTGATAAAGAAAAGTGAAATTGGGGTAGTAATGTAAAGTTATAAAATGTGCGAGCAGTATGGAAGATTTTTCTGTGATAAGTGCTATTCGTTGCGCGACCGATAAGGCCCGGCCCAACAAAGGCGCATGTATGACCGAGTATATCTACCAAACAATTTGAACCGGTTTATCGTAAATTCCAGAGCTCTAAATTAGCACCTTATCGCTTACATTAACCAGTTTTCTATGTAGAGAAATTTTACACTTGCTAAAAATAAAAATTCGCGCATTATCAAAATTGACTAATACCGTATAATGAACAGTCTAGTGCCGAATCCACTGATGAACCTCATTAAATGCATTCGGTGTAGATGAGCATAGGAGTGCACGCGATGTCGGAATTCATGTAACACACATATTAGTTATATGTATAAATTACGTTGGTACTTTGCTATGAGCTTGTTTCGTTTTTCGTTATGACTTTGTTCGTTTTGAATTCAATTTGCCCAACATTTGACAACAAAATATTATTTTTTCAATCCTCGAAACAGTTTTTACCATCTTTTTGTAGGATATTTTATGTGCTGTATTATTTATCAGGAAAAAACATAAAATTGAAAACGTTTGGACTCTAATTTTAGTAACCTATCCTTACTTGAAAAGTAAAAATATTAACCGCTGAAAAAACGTTTAAAAGGAATGAAGCGTCTACCTTTGTTGGTATATAGTTACATTCCTCACGTCGCAATTTTTTTACAGTATCAATTTGAAATCATAAAGAATAAGAGAAAACGCGTCGGCCGTCTAAGGTGACAACAGATATGAGAACCTTAATAGACCAATGTCCATTTTAAAACTGTTTTTCATTGTTGGAGGTCCTTTCGTGAATATAGCTTACCATCAGCACAGCAGCTGACAAAAATTTCGTTTGTTTGCAATTGACCACGAATCTGAAAAAAAAAATACTGTTCAGTTCCACGCATTTAAAGTCAATAATAGATGGATGTCGTAGTAACTAACAGTTTATTTTAATATTGTAGATGGCGCAAAATAATTTTTAACTCTAACGCTACTTATTTTCAAACTAAGCGTTTCTGAAAATTCCGAAAATGAAAAAAAAAGCGTTTGTTTACAAAGTTGCCATTCGTAGTTTGATCAATCGTGTTTTCGCATGGAATTTGAGAAAAGTTTCCGTATCAATCTATTAAACATGAACTATATATGAATAAGCCTGCTTCGAGCTGTTTCATTCATAGCCAATATATATCTAAGCAACGTGTTTTATCATCATAAAGCGTGTACGTAAAATTTCCACGCGACCGATTTCAAAATTGAAAGCCGTCGTATTATCAGAAAAGTAAATAAGAAAATCCGATGAAAAATTGTTTTTCGCTTTTAAAAAGATGTATTTCCGAGATAATAGGGGTGAAATTTTTGTTTGGGGTAATGTAAAAGATGGAATACTGATAGAGTCGGCTTGTGATTGTATGTTTCAGTACACTGTCTAAATATTCAATTAAATGTAGATTGAAGATGAAAGCGTATAGCACAATGTGTATTCATTCTTCCCCGTATCTGCTATTTTTTAGTTAAATATGAGTACATTAAACGTTGAACTTGAGCAGAAATTCTTGATATATAAGATAAAACTGAATGTAAATGTCTTGTGGTGGAACCTTCAGCATATTACCCTATTGCCTCAGAAATGACAATTTAATTATTCTGACATCCCAATACTCCACGCAATTATTCGTTTCCATAGCTATCAAGCAATCAACACTATTGAATAAAAAAGGCAGAAAAAATAATAGATATTTCCACAGCTGTTTAAATACTTTGTTTATTTTCATAGGCTAGCCGAAGAAGGGCTACAAATTACTCTAGAAGTGGACGATTATATGGATGTACTATGTCCCTACGTACCTACATCTCACATTGAAGAAACTAGACACAATAAACGTGGACAAGTATTTCTTCAATTGTTCAACGTAACAAGAGAGGAATATGAAGATTGTGATAATAGAAGTAGGTCATTTCATATTTACAACTATTTCTTTCTTTTTAATTTTTTGGATAAATTTATATATTAATAAAATTGTTTCTTAATATTGATAATTAATCGAATAATTTTTGTTATTTTGGGGCATATTGGCAAAAATCCTTAATTTTATTTGAAAAAACCTTTCACAAATTCACGAAATCATATATTAGGTTTTGAAATTCATTAAAATATGTAATATTTTATGGCTCACCAACAATTGAGTCTAGTTTCCTTAATTTCAAATATGAATCTATTTTTTTCCAAAATTAATTTTTCATGTCTTAAATAAACTCTACAGGCGACATTCTGGAAATAAGACCGCAGCACGTTCAAACGTTCTTAATAGTCACAGAAATAAATATTGTTTCTGTATATGGTATTGCTTTGAGTAGATTACTACTATAACTACAATCTAAAAAATGTAATAAATTTTCATGCAACGTTGATATAATAACCTAACAAAACCATATTTAGTTTCTGTTCGAAACCAAATCAGACCAAAATTGTCCCAACAACCCTTACTTTACAATATCATTACCAGACATCTTGTTCAATATTAACATAGCAAACGTAGACTGTCGCCATAATATTGTTTATAAAAGCTTTATCCAATGTTTCACGTATGTTCTATGAATAATTCATACAATTATCTTCTGTTCATACGTGATGTAATTCTTTATAAGAAGACGATTTGAACGACTACACTTCCGATTTGTAATGACTGTTACAAATTATACTTTTTTACAATTCAAACTTTATATTTGGCCGTATTTATTTTTCAAAATTTATCAATGTACATATATGAAAATGATTCCAATTCGGTAGTGAGTTTAATACTTTAGTATAGTAGCAATCTGGCGCCAATGTTACAAATGGTTCTTTGATAAATTCTGATGTGAGAAACCACAGTATACATAAAGGCAGACTGTAATATTCGTCTTTATTTTTTGTATGCAAATTGCTCCCGTTTTTCGTAAAAAACCATAAGAAGAATTATTACTTTATGATTTGAAGTTGACAAATGCTTCGATAGTTAAAAATTTTATTCAGTGAAATTTTTTGAGTGCAAGTTTTATTTTTACAAATGATAGAAAACTATTGAATCTTGATTATTCTTTTTAATTGGAAGTAGTGATTGTCCTTTTCACCGTTCTTAATTAAAAACATTTGTTTTTTTGTTTCAGATGGAATTCGCCTTCAAACTTGTGATAATCCAGGCATCGAAAAAAAATTGACGACAAAATTTCAAGAACGAAGTCCATATCCGTTTGGATTTACATTCAGACCTGGAGCAACATATTATTATATTTGTGAGTAACTCTTTTTTACAAGTACAACTGTTAGCTTTGTGACCATTCAACAAATAAAATAAAGGTTACCATCACTTGAAATCGATCAATATCTAAAAATGATTTCTCTTTTCTACGGAGTGTGGCGTCAACTTCTTAATACCAGACTTCAGAACTTTGTTGTCCTTGCTTAATATCTAAAACGAATTCAACGCCTACGAGATACCATTCGCTGAGTAGCGTTTGGATATATGATAGTGAGGCACAAAACCAGTGTTGGATAATACTTTATGAACCCCGACTCGCGAGCCCGTAGTCGAGTTAATTTCTTACCAAAGTCTCACGTGGTTAGTTGATGAAGTATACAAGTCATACCATTTTCCTGACTCGAGTTTCAAATAAATGGTGACTGCATCTAAACTTACCAACACTGCTCAAGGCTCCCTTCGTCCACTAAAGTTATCACTGAAGTTTTTAAATATTAGTTGATATTTATTGATTTGGTAATAGTGTTGTGTTGGTTAACCTTCGGGCGCTCTACTCATCATAGATATATTTGACGCCATGAAATGTGGATTTTCGACCACGAATCGCATTACCTTTTTACACCATCATTTTGGTTTTATATCCAAAACGTTATGCCACATCAAGCCCGGTACATTGTCGTTTGAATGATTTTTACTGATTTTAATCTCTTTGTATTATAAAATCATAATAACATTATTTTAACCTTGACCTCGTGCGGGAAAAACATGTTTTGCCCATGATATTTTCATCAATATTTCTAAATTTTGTTAAATAATTTTATACATTTTGATATTACGAAAATCGCGTCAGGGAACGCTGTATTACGACGAATTTTTGTTTGTCTGGCGATGAGTTTCGTTGTAAATTTGTTTGTCATACTCGGCGTTGGTCATCGCGGAGTACAATCTAAAAATATTTGTTTTGTAACTGCTCCAAACAAAGCGTTTCTTATGTCGTAAGAACCCATTCAAGCACGACTTGATGATTCATATTTAGACTAAATTCTTGTCAACTTCGTGTGGTTTTAGAAGAAATTGTGGAATTATTTTTACCAAATATAAACTTGTAATCGAAATTTGTATATAAATTTCGGAAAAAAAATCAGATGAAAAGTTTTGTAAATTAACATCATTTTATATTGTAAAGTAACGCTAATGGATCTCTAAAATAACAAAACAAATTTTTTCAACGGAAGTAAAATAAAAAAAAAACTGCCAAATGTTTTCCCAAAAGATGAGAAATTGACTTTTTTGACCTTGTTCCATATATTTTAAAAGCCAAGCTAATCTCAGTTAGTCCAACAACTATATGAGAAAGTGAACAGCTCAGTGTGAACGTCCAAGCGAGACAAAGTAAATAACTTTTTATTTGCGCGTGGATTTGTTATATCTCCGCGTAAAATCTAAATTGTACAAACTCCCCACCAGCGACCACTTAGTTGCTAGGATTCTTTAGAATGGTATGTTTATTTTTACTATAACTTGTCAAAAAACGGCCAACGATAAGTCATGCTTTTACTCGTAGTTTGACATGATATTAAAATGATCATAGTCGAGAAGTTTGCTATCATCCATCTCTATTTGGCATTACTAGTTATCTTATCTCGCAACCAACTACGATAAGGACAATATTTAAAAATACTTCAAAAAGCAGCAAATATAAAGATATTTTTAAATGTTTAAAAAAGATATTATGATCCATTTAAGGCCTAAATGAGAACGTACAATATTTACACAAGTTTTAAAACCGTTTCGCTCGGTCGACTACGCGATGATAAAACCATGTTTTGCGTGCCAATGTCTGTGTTCCCCAGCAGTGGATAAAATCTCACGAATACAATAAACTAAGAATATGCAAATCTTAAATAACATTGGAAAGAATAAATGATACATATACAAGGTACTCAAGGTGCGTCTGAGTATAGTTTCAAGATCGTGATATAAAAAGTCACGGTAGAAAGAAAAAAAGGTGGGCATTTTGTTTGTAATGCCTGTTAGTAGTACAATCCCTAAATTAAATTTTGAACATGCGTTGAATTCTAGTATTTTACTCGCTTGTTAAAGGGTGATAAATTGTAGAATATATGCCATCTCCTTTGTCATATTTATTCAGTATTTCTTTTTATAATTTTAGCTAAACCACTTCATGACATCAGTAAAGGCTGCACTCAAGCTACAATGAAAATGAAAGTTAACGTACAAAAGAAAGGTGCAGGTTGGTACAATACACTCCATTCAAATTATGCTAAAACTATAATATAAAGATTCAAAACGTTCATCAAGAGGTATTAAAAGATGAATCAAATTTTGAGAAATATTATAGGATTGCCAAAAAATTATGGACCAGTTTTATATAAGAGAGAAATACCAAAAAATGATACTATTTTAAAAATTAATATGTAAAATGTGTATATATATAAACATGCTTCATTAAAGGCCTTCATCAAAATATGATAATGTTAGAGAAATTGAGATGTTTTGATTTTTTAGTCAAGCTATCATCAATTCAGCTGCTATAGTATCATTGTAGTTTTCACAGAAAGACTGAACAATTTTTAATTTTCTAATTTTTACTTTGAAATTGTTTAAATATAGATTGTAGAATTCGTTGTGTTTCTTATCAATTTTTCTTTTCAACAGTTTTTGCCGAGAGCCAACATGAACATACGATAACATATAACAAACATAATCAGAAACATCATAATGGAAATCATAACAAGAACATACATGTAGAAACAGGTATTTATTGTTATGTGTTATGTTTTACATATATAAGTTGGTTCCTTTTTTTTCGTTCGTGTAAATGAATTGACCTCTCATGGAAGCACACAACACATTGAATAAATTGTCGCCATTTTGAATTATCAATACTAGATTTAAAAAAAGTAAGTAACCAACAATATAAGATTACCGTTTGATTACTATAAATATGAAAAGTAAAATCAATTTTCGACTTATTGTTTTTGGTACTGATGAAAACACCAATCTTAATGCAACGAATTTTATTTACTAGATCGAGTTATGTCACCCCACCGACACAATCATCACGATCGAGCGACCACCGTTAAGCCAACCACAAGGCCTCCACGTGTTGTTATTCAGTTTGAAACTCCTTCCATCAAAACACCAAAGATTCGAGCGAGCGCTGTACAGCAAGACGATCCAGAAAATGGAGCTATCGGATTTAATAAAGCTTCTTTGCCTATTATAAGTCTTTTTGCTTCACTATCAACTTTGTTTTTGTGCAATTTCAATTCAAATTTCGGGTTTTGGCATTAAAAGAGCACAAGGGCTACTAAAGAAAATTCAGGCCATCGTTGAAGACCGCATGGATGCATAAACTAACACGAGGTTAGATGACAATGCCATTGCCGCGAAAAGCACAGAATCCGAATAAAGATGGCTGTTTATTGGCTTGCTTTAATAGCCATTAGAAGCAGGCCGAATACTAAAATCTCCGCTATCGCGTGAAAACTACCAACAAAAATGTCATCATTTCAATATGCCTTATAAATGTATTGACAATTATGATTTATGACATTAATGATTGTATTTCAAACTATAGAAGGAAAATTGATCAAAATAGTTCAGAGTACCACAATTACCCTGTAACAGCATTTTTGAACCAAACCAAAATTTTAAGCATGAGTTAATTAGCAGTATTCTGTTGTTTATCGAGAAAGCATTTTTAAATGTGAAATTATAGATTTCAAAATTAGGCAATACAAGGTGTTCATTTATAATGCTTTACCTTGCTTGATTTTGATACCAATATATATATATATATATGGGGACTGTCTCATTTGCTTTAGTGTATTATACTATAAATTATAATGACGTGGAAAGTATCCATTACTAACGAACGAATATCCATTTTTTTCAAATTTGTAAGTGGTATAATTGGTTGGATTCTGAAAAACATCAGTTTTATAATATCTTCAAAATGGTACAACAAAGTGTCTCATTTTTATTTTTAATGGTGAACTTTTGATGAAATTTAAATGCTTATATGCCGATGCTTACAGCAATGACACGTCGTTGATGACCAAAAATCATGAATTCACTAATTATCGCAAGTAATTATAACCAAATAGGATATATATCCTAATTTTGCTATAACCTTTTCCTAAAACAGTCAAATTTATGGAAAACAGAAACTTTTATCACATTTACGGCAGAATCGAATCGATTAAATGAAAAGTTAAGTGATTAGAAGTTTATTAGTATATACCCAAATGGTAGGAACGATCCCCAAAAGTCCATTTTCAGTAATCGGCTCTTCCATAATGTGTGATTTATTATAAATTACGCATTATCTGTGATTAGATTTCGGCAATGCAGATACCCACGTGTGTCGTGATGTCTTTTTATGGTTAGTTGATGCAACGATTATACTTTTGTACAATGAGCTTTCTTTGAGTTTTGAATGCTTTTGCGAATGTTTTATCCTATTTTTTGTTAAGTGGGATAATTTGTATCACAACAATTTCAAAGTATGTCATATCTACCGCGTTTTACCGAGCCAATTGCCGAAATTAGGAATCTTTTTGTGTTGGCAACCGATACAATAAATTCCCGCTAGATGGCATTCAAGAACAAATATTATTTTAATTTTCCGATATGATACACAGCAAGCTATGTTGGCTTAAGCACTTATTTTTCTGCTATGCTTTATTTTGTTTTTGTTTCATTTTTCTTTTGCGATGTATTGCTTTTTCATTCTAGCAGTTGAAATAAATAAAATAATACCTGCTTAATATTTTAGTGCTGTAAGGTCTACGTCTACGGCACGGGTCGGGAACGTTTAGCATTGAAAGAGCCATTTGGCATTGCCGCAACATCTACTCTAATGTCCCTGGCTATTAAAACTCGCGGAAAACCGTTTATGATGCAATATTCTAGTTCTCACTAAGAAGAAGTCAAATAAATTACTAATGATGCAATAATTAAGTTTACGACGAAAGGAAAAAGAAAACTGGGAAAAAAAGTTTTAATCATTTAATGAGTCCTATTGTAATCGCCCACAACTTTTACCTGTGATGTGATGTGTAACAATTGAGTAGTAATCAACTTATCTCCATTACTTATAAAAAAAAACTGCTACAGCCACTGGGATTCACGGGAGCTAGAGCACCAAGAACAAAGGGATAATTGGTACATGCGGCTACGGAGCCACAAGGTGTTCATCGCTAGTTTATGCCCATGGATTTTATTGCAGTTCATGAAATTCAACACTCAGTTGTCTGACACCATATAGTGTCGTCTGAAACCCTTGCATTTGTTTAATTGCAGATCATTTCAATATACAAAACAGAAGTATTATGCTCTGACAAGGACATCTCCATAGCTAAGATTTTAGATGATGGAGTTATTCTAATTGTTCAGTTGTCTGACAGAGCATAGGTTATGAAAGTCTTCTATACCAATTTTAGGTTCTAGCAATTAAATACAAAAAGCACGTGTCTCATGTTTGGCAAAATTCAAGAAAATATTTAATCAAATATTCGCAGTTTTAAAGGCTAGACCATCTCATACACCCTACCCTACACAATAGGTAGTATTTCATTAATTTGATTTCTTTGCATCCTCAAAAATGGCAAAGCAAAGTTGCGATTCGTAAACACCGGAATGAATCACAGCATTAAACAAAAATAGGAGATGAGACTATGCGTTTATGTGTAAAACTCAGCTATCCGAATTATTGGCTTGATTACAAAAATTGCCTAGTATTTCCATGACATCAGCAAAAGGGCGATGCTCGTCATGACAAAAATTTTTGAGGAAAAATCGAATCACACAAAGCTAACATCAAATTTTGAATTAAATATAGTCAACACCCTTAAAGCAAAAATAGCAATCTTGAACTAATGAAAAAGGAGATTCTAAATGACCTAGTAGTTAATGCAGTGGTTCTCAACCTGTGGCACTAGTGGTACGCGGGAGCTTTTCAAGTGGTACGCGAGCAGATTTGAATTATTGCAACAATTAACCTTTCAGTTGGCTAAAATATGCCGGCAACGCTTTATCTTCCTCAGTGGCGTAACAACGCAATGTGGCTCCCCTGGATTTTTGCGCGAAATGCCGCCCCTTCAACACCGTCGTAAAAGCTGAATAAAATTCCACACAACAGAATAATTAAAGCAGTGAATAGTAAATTTTATCGAAAGTTCCAAATTCAATGTCTAGTTTTCATTGAAGCAAATTCAGAAATTATATCGTCAAAAGATAATGTGTCGACTAAATCACTTTCAATGGGCAGTATTGCTGGCACAGGCAGCCTGCTTTCTCCCATAGTCGATCTCAAGTAAAACTTCATCAACCTAGGTTTTGACTTCGTTATTCGCAGCTTGTGAAAGAAACGGCAACAGTGAGGTAAAGCTTGAGACTCATGAATAAATAAGGTGTTGATTCGCATAAACGATGTTTGCAAACCACTGCAGTACGTCCAGCGCTGTAGCGTTATTTTTAAATGTAAAATCATTTGATTGTACTAGTGCAGTGGTTCTCATCCGGGAGCTCCCTACAGATGCCACGAAGCAGTTCGAGGGGGGGCACGACACAAGACTAATAATTTATTATATAGGGACTTCGTTTGCATACTTTCCACGGCAGTTTCATTACCTGAATAGGATTATTTGCGATCACAGGGTCAGGGTGTATACACTTTCTTGTGCGTGAATTGTTTGATCATGATGGAATTTAAAATCTACCAACGTAAATAGTTCGCCGGTAGGCCGTCAGGTCTAAACTACAGAATGGCAGTTCCACTCGACTGCGAGATAACCTTCGCTAGCGTATTATAGACGCAATTACGAAAATTGAACTACAGTTCCGTTTTGGATGAACACATGAATGGCTGCGTTCCTGGGCCTTCAAGCACAGAAAGATGTACTAACAACAACAACAGTTCCGTTGACTTTACCAAAGTAAATTGAGATGCCAGAGAATGTGATTAATGCTGACATTGCTCGTATGTAATGAGCAATAAATCATTACGTCCATCTGAACTCCAAAATACCGTGACAAAAATCACCCCCGGTGAAAGACGTTGGCATCGGTTTCTTTGCTGCCAAGCGAGTTAGATTTGACAGAAACGCACATTAACAAAATTTATAAACCGTCTTGATGTTGACATTCGTCTAGCTATAAAAAAGACTGAGCCTAATACGATAAACCTCGTCAGACAGCCCTAAGCGCAAGATTCCCTTTGATTGTATACTGGAGAGCGTTTACTTTCTTGTCTGTGGTTTGCTTTTGCATTCCATAATAGGTCGTAAACACGTAATACAATCCAACATGTTTCGTTTTTTGGATTGGCGAACACGGAGACCGCGAGTGCAAAGGGGCGCTGGAAGGGGACCACGAGCAATGAAACACCTGGTTTAGACGTATATATATATATTGTGTAATTTTTTGGCTTCATTGGTAAATTAGGTCGTTTAATGTAACTGCCTTGGTTCGTTTAAAACGTTTTTCCGCTTCGTAAAACGTTTTGCCACATTTTGCCGCCCTTCAGCAACGTGCCGCCCCTGGATTTATCCACAACATCCAATGGGTAGTTACGCCACTGATCTTCCTTACTGTATGTATTCGCTGAACAGCGTTTATGGATGTTATTCCCAAGCATCAGTTTTTTTTGTTTATTTCCGTAACTATAACCAATCAGCAATAAGTGAATAATGACGCAATACGTAACAATTGCAATTTCTGCACTCAGCCGCTCAGACACTTCTGTCGCTCAAGCAGATATTCAAGCATGGTTACAAAATGCAAACATTGCCTCGTTTTTGTAGTTTTGAGTGATATTTGTCAGTTTTCAGTTGTGTTTCAAGAAAATAATAGTAAATTAATTAACTTAATTGTCATTATGTTATCCGCGGAGCTTTACTTTAGTTGCAATGATCGAAATTGAATCTCGCAAATGCTGCGATGGACAAGGCTAAACTTACAGCTATATATCAGTACCTGCAAACGGCACATGGTTGATTAATTTTAATAAAAATTATGGTTTCAAACACGTAAACCAGTTTATATGCGCCATCATACCAAAACACTCTCAGAATAAGCATAAAGTTTTCAATAGTAAAGTATAAGAGTAATTTTTTCGGGGTCAATGGTCGGGGAAATGTCCATAGCACTGGTGTGCTATACCGATAGCGCACCAGTGCTATGGACATTTCCCCGACTTTAGAGATCGCCCTCGCCCGCTATTGCCCACTTTAAATGAAGCGATATAGGCATGTTTTTGTTTGTTTTGCGTGTTACGCCACAAAGGATGTAGTGCCACATTATAAAATACACACATAGCATGTTTCTTGTGTCTCTTTCCCCACGCCAAAAAAGGAGCTTTGTCGGTGGTACGCGGCCATAGTAAACAACAGTAAAATGGTACGCGGTCAGTAAAAGGTTGAGAACCACTGAGTTAATGGGAAAAAAGATTTTTTCATGACAACAAGAAAAACAATAACAACAAAAAAACGATCCATAGATTCACTTCGTGTCCATTAATACGAGTAGTTATATTTAATTTCTAACTGTAATCGATCAATCAATCGTTTATTTGTCATCGCAAAACAAGTTCAAGTAAAACTGATGCAACGAATAACAGTATTAATTATGTTATTTGTGTGACCGAAGTCGCGAGGGACATAAGAACGTCTTCAAGCAGCGACACCTACAGCGCTGTTGCAGGTTAGCATAAAAAGTGACATGAATGAGGGATAAAATATATAAATCCTCAGATGAGTCCACAACTGATGCAAATACAGTTGCGACATTAGAAATATTTGAGATTTTGACATAGGGTAAAACTAGGAATATGAAACTATGTCCGAATAAATATCAGTAAGAATGCGAGGAAAACAGAATAAAAATACAAAAAAATTCTAGAAAATGTATCTATATATATCTATATAATGTTCGCAATAATGAGAAAGAGATAAAACGGCCAAATCATTTGAAAAAAATAGCAAACGTAGATTGAGGGCAATAAACTATCGCGCTCCACTCTGAACGATCTTTGAATCAACTATTAATGTAGCAGATATTTTCGGATTTTGACTCCTTGCACCTATTTTCGTCCGAGAAGCTTGACGTTAGCCTGTACACCAGGCTGTTAAAAAGTGGATGATCCTTCTAGAAATTTCAATGGTTACCGGTACCGGTAGAAAGATAATTACCGAATATTTGTAAAGTTTTTACATACTAAACAAGATTTCGTCTGAGATTATTCTCAAGTATTTACTGAACTGACGTAAATATTTGGGACTGAGAGAATTTTGTTGTGAAGAAGTATGCTGTGGCTAAACGTATACCACTCTTGTCCGATTGCAGTAATATAATTATTAAAATCTTGGTTCTTAGTAAATTATGTAAATCGAAAAAGATTATTAGTTATATTCCAATATCACAAAGCGATTTGAAAGTAGAGCATTTAAATCAAAAGTTCCGAACAAATATATTGCGTTAAATTATTTAAATAATCAACCGCGTGTTGTGTCGTCGTGGAGAGATACTGTATTTCAGTACATTGTTGATATTAAAAACCCTATATATCATATTCAGTCGTATATAACTTATTAACTAAATGAGTCACACGTTATAGTTTTTCCACAGACAAGAAGAATGTGGGTCAATATTCAATGACTTTCCGCAAATATTTTACCTATTTTTCTCGAAAACCACTCTAAATTCTTCCACAAAACTGTCAAAAATTTGTCTCTGACTAAATTCACGTTTCCCGTTCTTCTAGATATTTGAATATATATTATTGTTTTTGCCGACTTTATAGTGAGTTGTTTGACAGAGGCAAAAAAATATATATAAATCATTAAATATAAACACACATTTTTTTAACAATAACGGTTGTATTAGTGTTAGGGTTGCACATGAATATCAAAACATTGTTTGATAAATGAGGTATAGCGTTTAGCCAATAATGGATGAAAAAACTGATCATATATATATTGATTATGCAAAACGTACATTTTTAGCGTAAACGTATATTGTACCTATCGTATATTGTACCTATAAAGATAGCTTGAACCTTTGAGAGGATTTGGATTAGATTTTTAAGATAGTTTAAATTTTCGAGTTGATTTCAATGAAGTATTTTCTATATCGGCCCACAAAATTAAAACAATAGGAAAAATTCAAAAGCTAGAGGGTAATAAAATATAAGTACTATTCTTTGAGCGAAAAATACATACTTTCATCACTAAAAATCCAACGCGATTAGTTCAGTAGTTAACAAGAAACGTGATTTTTTATACGGTAATAATAGGAACAAGAATACAAAATGACAAAATGATTCATAAATCGTTCAATTTGTGCCTAATAATTTGACTAATCGACAATTTATGTAATCATGGCACAATTACAGCTTCCCCGGCTTCTACTGTTATAAGTGATTCGTCTTGTTGACATGAACGCGAACAACGGCTCCCTGCTGTGTTTCCAGATAATGTAGCTAGTAGTGTTTCATAACTTTGTTTTATTGATAGATTCCACATATCATATCCAACCAGGTGGAATAGACGAAATGTGTCCAAGTCTGATAATTTTGTCTTTGGTACAACGAAGACCTGAATCTGCGTGAAAACAAAATTACCAAGATAATTTATTCATGGACTGATATTATTGGACATGGAGTGGACCTATGGATCGTTTTATTATTGTGCTGTTGTTGTTCTTAAAATTTCCTTCACTAATAGACCAATTACTTCGAAATTTCCAGTGGGGAAAGATTGTATTTTTTGCCAGAAGATTATTACTTTTATTTGTTAATAAATTTTCTTTGAGATCTGATATTTCATCGATAATGCGCTTTACAATTTTTTAATTAAAGGAAACATCGTGACGGCTGGTACCGGTAGTTTACTATGACAGATTGCACACCCGTACTACGGTGTTATGGACTTCGCGTCCATATATTTGAGCATCGCTACGTGTAATATATTTACGTTTGGTCAATAACAATTAGAATTCACCAATTGAAACTTACCACTTTTGCAATTCTTTTTATATACTGCATATATATATATATATATGTTAAATATTGGATGTAGATCAGATTCCAGTTTATAATAGTCGAAATCTGGTAGATTTGTACAATGTGCTTGGTTGAAGCAAATTTCAGAATTTTATAGATTTATCAAGGATATATATTGCTGGATGATATAATGTATGACAATTCTACCTAAAAATATATATGAATTTATATAACTTTACTTACAAACGCTCCTGTCGCCTGAAGATTTACTGAGTCTCTGACGTAATCATCGTCGGATTTACCAGTTGTAAAAATTATGACTACGTCTAGTACGTTCAAGCGATTTCCTGCTTCAGGCGCCATCATGTTCTCGGTAAGGTACTGTATTGCTTGACCAAGGTTTGAACCTACTTATGCAAAAAAAGCAATGGTGTTGTGTACATTGTCTTTTTCCCTAGCTATTCTCAACGATGCTTTAAATACGTCTCAAACCAAACGTTTTGAATTGTATTCACCTCAAAATTAGCCTTTAGTTTGTTCGAACATGTTATGACTCAACAAACCATTGGTAATGAAATTGGATTTTATTTAAACGTTTTCATTTTTGATGCATTCAAACCGATTTCTTTATATTTGTTTTCAATAATTTTTTGAATTTTTTACTGGAAATCTTTTACATGAAATGGACAATACTTTTAATTTAAAATATTTCTCTGATTAAATTTCACTCACCTGTACCATCATATGGCAGTGAATCAAATGCGTACCAAAATTCCGAAGGTTTGTCGGAATAATCATCCAACGAAATCAAATTTTTCGTGTCAACTTCGTTATTGTAACGCATAATTGAAATTTTTGTAGAATCGGCGGAAAATGAAAAACCTCTGAAGGTATAAAAACACGTGATATATATTTTATTCATTATGAATAGGATAAACCGAGAAATAAATCCTCGCTTGATTTGCAGGTTCTATTCATAGTAGAGTGAATTCATTTGCAGAAATTGCTGTAATTGATGGATTATTTCATATATGCATCAATAACTTTTATAATTAAATGTTCAAGCCTATATATTTGCATATAACTAGGCATATCTGTCGCAGTCGCAGTTTCATATACCTATCGTAACAAAAAAACTTGATTATTTAGTGAAGTTCAACATATTAATGACGCAATATATATTTTATACGTGTCAGTCTGGTTTCATATGAAGTCTCATTGTCATGTCAAATTATGAATTATCCTAAAAAAAGATAATCAACTTAATGGCACAAATTATTAATCTCAACCTTTGTGATATACTCAAAGTTTTTGTTTACTTGCTAAAAATGAGCATCCCGCACTAAATTATAACTCTGTCTTGTGTACTGCCAAATGTCATCGCTCAAATTTGCTCTAGTTACGTACGTCGTCGCAGGCACCATCATTATATTATCGTCGGTATTTTTTATTGAACAGAAGTCAAGTTAATATTTTTGAACTATGTCGAACAAAAATTTAAAACCACTGTACTGAAACGTTTGCTTGACATATTCTTTCATTAAAACCCAATCTTCAGCCCCCACCAAATCCGAAGAATCCAATAGAATATAGACATCCATGACGTTGTGAGGTGGACACGGAGCTTTAATAAAAAAAATAAAGTTCAATGGACAAGTGGTGTATCTAGGAATTGTTTTGCAAAATTATTGTTGTTAGAAACTATTGCTTTAAAAAATACTATTATTATACTATTATATATATTATATATTATTTTAATAATCTTATATGATATATTACTATCATAAGTTTCCTATTTTCAATACTTTTCGCGGAGGAAGTTACTAGTAGAGTATTACGTTTATTTTATTGCAAACTCACTCCAAGTCTTATGAAAGCAGATATTTTCACCAAAGATTTTTTAGTTATAAATTATTTAAAGCGGTGTTGCTAAAAAAATTTGCTTGACAGCCAAACTTTCGAGCAAAATCGATACATTTTTGGCGTTACCGAGTCGTACCGGCAAAAAGTTTCAATACTAATAAAAGACCTAAATTCGTTCAAATTATTAGGAACTTACGTGCACAACATGGTATTTTCCCGCTCCATTCTTTATTTGGCATACATTTGATTGTCTTGCTACTATCCGGATACAAAGCATACTTCCGTTGCAAACATTTAAAATGACAAACTGACGTCACTCGGTTTTCTCGTGTACAACTGACAAATCTGTTTGGAACTGTTTTATTGAATGATTTGCAACGATCAGCTAAAAATAAAACAACACTTCAGTATTTTGAATTATTCTAATAATAGATTAAATCATGCACTACAAAATTTATATGATAGACAGTTATGGTTTTATTTTTCAAGGAGCATTATGTTGTAGTATAATGATGTTCAATGAAGTGAATAAATTTGATTATTTAAATTAAAAATTTATTTACCTATGCAAATTGATGTAGTCAAACTTGTCCATTCTGGTTTTGACGAATTTTGAACACATTCAATTATTTTCGGCCCTACTAAAGTGTAATGAGGTTTGCATGTGAATATACATTTGGAGCCGACCAATCTGTCGTTATTGCAAAATACATTTCCATTTTCCGGAACTTTGGGTTTGTTAAAGCAAAGGTTATCTGTATAAATACATGCAACTGTTGTTTATAACCTAAATTAATATATCATGAAACGATTAGGATTTTTATATAAGCTCTTGTCGTTTTATACATTTCAATATATATATAGCTATCTTATTCCTCTAATTTAAAGAAAGGTAAGCAACAAATACAATTAAACGACACTTTATTTTCATGATGAAAAGATTTGCATTTTTCCAAAAGTGTAAAATTAAATTCCAAATAATTTTTTTTAAAAATTCAATATTGAATAAAAATATATTTTGGGGAAATAGATGGCATTTTGAATAATGGTAGTACATGATTTTGCCATTTTTAGTCACGAAAAATGTTAAACAAAATAAACCAAACTCACCTGTGGAATTTACTGAAAATATTACCGAACTGATGATGAAGAAAACTATTAGCATATTTGCCATTTTATGCATAGATCTTACTATCCTAACAACACAATCCATAAAATTTCATTCAGTAAGTACATCGATAAACAGTCATTAATTTTTTATTGCTATGGCTTCCTGACCGCAGAGCATTATTGATTTGTGAACTTTTATTTATTTGTTTTATTAATATTTGAAGCATTTATTTAATAAAAAAGAATATAGACAATTTCGGGAATATTTCGTGCAAATGGAATTCTTTGAAACTGTGCATGAAAATTCAAATATATCAATTCGATAAAAAATTCTCAGTAACAGGTTGCTATGACCTGTATTGTTTTGTTTGGCCATTGGTAATGTTAAAAAAAATTATAAAGAATACATTCTTTTCGTGGTATGTAACAAAAATTTATTTCAGCCATAGAAGGTATTGTAGGTATATGTATCTTTGTTCTATGCAACCAAATTCAACAAATAATTTTAAAATATTTTATTTACATAAATATATTATTCAAACTTTTTAAAGACTCTATACTAACCAGGTGAGACAAGCAGTAATGTAATTCATAACATTATTGCACGCATTATCTGACCCATTTTACCCCGGATGTCTGCGATGTCTGGATGATGCATACTGTGCAAATAGAGTTTGTTTACACACGTGAAACTGATGTCTAAACTTGACCAAAATTCTATACTTCACTATTAACTGGTTCAGTAAAGATTGAGAGAAAAGGTTGTAATCTTTATATAACGATTGAGGTATCGTTTCTGTACCTTAAAAAATTCATGTACAAAAATCTGAACAAATTTACATTTTTTCTGACAAGGCACCATCATCTCCCATAGTAAGCTAAGGATATGTATGGTATAATCGCAATATAACGTAACGGGGACATGGGTGATGGCAATTACAAATGGGTACCTAACCTTGATCACTAATTGGCTATGGGTGAAATGAAGTTAGCTTCGTCGTCTTTGTCTAAATCTAAATACTGAAATTTTAAAGTTTCTGGCTGTCTTTTGTTTGTTTGTTTATTGCATCATTTCGATTAAAGAATACGTGATGATAAAATAATTTTTAATTATTGTCATTATTCAATTATGTCCGAATGAATAAGTATGGCTTTTGGTCTCTTATGGAAATGCGTATTTTGAATATGCAGCAAGATTCCTGAATGACTGACTGGTACAAAGTCGGTTCATACGCGAACCCTGTTGGGTAGTTTGCCCTACGATTTGGTCACGGTTTCAGCTATTTACGTGATGAGTTTATCACAATGTGAGCTAGAAATACGTGTGTCAGATCTTAAAATAACATTTTCTGTTACTGTTATTGCTTTTATCACGTGTTTTCATTTTTTTAGTTTTGAGGTGATTTTAAAAATTAAATAAAAATAAGTTTTAGTCAGTAAAATGAGCATTATAGTTTCGTTCATTGATTTTGTATTTACTTTTGTATATTTTGAATCATTTAGAAAGTGTAGTACAATTCAAATTAACATTGTAAGAAAAAAAAAATAATGTTTCACCTTTCTGAAACATAGGTTTAATGATTGAAAATGTTTCCGGTTTCGTTTTTTTCACAATCAATGACTTTTCACGGGAAATCGTCCTTGCCAAATTTTCACTTTAGTTGTTGTTGTATTCCATGGAACAATAAACATGAATGGTAGGTGTGAAGAAAAGGGGGTTATGATAATCGTGGGTCAATGTAAATAAATAGAAAATGAGATCACTGGAAACAACTATAAAATAATTTACTACTCAAATTTTTTTTCAAAAGTTTTAAATATTATCTTTTGTCTTTATTTGAGTAAAACCACCGTTTTTTTTTTTTATTTGTGTCACTTTTAGTACTTTAATGTTGTGAAATATATTAATCTACGCTACGCTTGAATTACTTTTGAGTTTAAAAAGTACTGGATTTCCTATGAGGTTGTTCAAGATGAAATGTTCTAGACATAACAAGCAACACCTTTAGGCTAGATTTGTGCTAAGATTTGCTTTTTACCTTTAAGCCTTCTTGTACTGGCTCAAATTGACATAATTATGTAAACCAGTCTAAATATACTTGCAGCTTACGTTTCCGAAATAAACTCTTAATCCATGCGACCCGTATATATGGTACATTGCGTACGGTGCACAGATCTTTTCCAGCTCAGTCACTCTATGAACTCTTATCAATGGCACAGTGGTTTTTATACTTTTTGCTGAAGCGGAACCCCAATGAAGCATTCCAGCAAAATAAGCAAAAAAGCAAACCTATTATTTGCAAAACAAAATGTTTTTTTCAATGTATGAAGCTTAAGATATGCTAAGTAAAAACGTAGAAAAAAATTCTGTGTTTTATTGAGCGGATGTAAATTTAATGTATGAAGGTTTCGAAGAAAGCATTCAAATGCATCCAATAAATCTACCATACATAATCAGTTAAAACTTAATCATATCTTTAAGGTATCGTATTTCGCAATTATGACGTTGATAACATTCCAACATTTTACATGTTTAAATATTGATTTGGCCGAAACAATTTTCAAATACCACAATTGGATTGCGTGAATTGATACGTTTCATCAGTAAATACGAAAGCTCAACCGCATAAGAGACATTTCCCGACTCTTCCACTTAAAATGCACTATAGAAGATAGTAAACACAATATAATTTAATTTGAAACGAAAATCACATGGAATTATATTTGTTTATGTTGCGTAAATGCATAACCTATGCTCTGGCAAAAAATCGATATATTTTCATTATCGTATTTTCGCAGATCCTACTTCTCAAGCTTGTTTCCAATGCTATATGTATGAATTAAGCTCTGCATGGATTATTTAACCCGAAAAACCAATGTTTTTATTCGCCACGAATGTCATACCCAAATGATAATAAAATAAACTCAAATGATATTTTAACTCCGTATCTTTTTACTATAGTGATCTACTTTATACATACCACATTTAATTTACATTCTTAAACGAGGCTATGTAAAAGGGTATCCAGTTGACTGTGTCTCGAATATGTCTTGTCTCACTTGTCCCACGTGCATCACTTGTTCCAGTCATTCCACTATTCGCACGTGTTCCATTTGTTCACCTGTGCCACTCTTTCTGCGCGTCCCACGTGTCTCACTCGCCCCACTTGTTCTACGTGTCCTACTTGTCTCACGTGTCCCACATGTCCCATTGTCTCAAATGTCTAAATTGCTTCACGTGTCCCACGTGTCCTACTTCTGACAAGGTTGTGAAAATTGGCTTATAGGTGAACTATACCTGATTGAGGTATTGTAATTACAATTTATAAAACATATTTCCTAATTCAAAATTTTGAATGGCGATACATGCATTGAAGATATACCGGTGCCTATACGATATCGACACGGTAATATTTCGAAAAGCCGATATTGCCGGTATTCCGATATTGATATTCCGATAATATTTGATTATCATCTGGATTGTAAAAGACAGACAAAATAGAATAGTTATCTTCAAACTATATTTACAGTGATCATTATTTCAGCTTGACGAACAAGTATTTTCAGAACATAAGAAATTGATATTTGTGATTCAAATGCATGAATCACGTGTCATTAGTAGGGTTACCATATTTTTGTGACTTCAAATCGGGACGCCTCGAAAGACAACGACCCCTTAGCTGTGATTTTATAACTACACATTTTCCGATTTTACTACGTAGGCCTACATTCATACATTTAAAGCTGTCTCGGCTGTCTTTATTGACCATATTGTTATTGAAATTTCATGCGCATATTCTCTGTCCAAATATCGGGTTCAGTTCGAAAAATAGGAAGGAATTGACGTTAACGATACCGGTACAAATAATTCGAATTTAGACTAATTAGTATTAGTTTTACATGCGATCGTCTGCCATCAATGGGAATCAGCGGGAAACGAACGCATTCACCTTCAGTAAGTAGGCTAGCGCTGTACTACACAGAAACAACAGTAACGAGAACATGTTCGTGTATTACGCCGGAAAAGCGGGACTTTTGGCTGACTTATCGGGACGGCGGGACAAAACGCTGAAAAGCGGGACTGTCCTGCCTAAAGCGGGAGCCTAGTCATTAGAATCAATGCTAACAGATTGAAGTACTCAAATCAATTTCTCCTAATACATATGGAAAGTTGCACCTCCACGCTCTTATCAAAGAGAGTATTGTAGTTTCTGCAGACGTTTTGTTGCGCACAGGTGCAAGGTATCGGGGTGTTTGATCTGTGTAATCTATAAAGTTGTAGTAATAGGTACGGTAAGTACATTTGGTGATTTTAACACTTGTCTTACCACATACATATTATTCAACACCTGCTTTTTCCAACTAAGTTTCATTCATAGCTGGATTTGTCCACGTATATATTATTCATCATTTGTTTTGTGCACTTATTGTCAATCATTACGATATTTTGCCAATGTACATGCCGAAAGGTAAAAAAGGGAAACGGGAGAAATTGTCAATGTGGCACAAACTTGTAGCAACATTATTACAAGTATCATGTATCATCAGGTGCGAGTAATACAAGTGGGAAAATGAATACATGAGACAAGCGATACAAGAGTGTGTAGCACGTGGAACCCAACTTGCTCCAGAGACATGCAATCTGAAATATTACTGACACTGACTTTCTTGGAACTCGGACGGCATAGTGTATTACGATTACTGAACACTACTCTTTATGAGCTACTCGTTGATTTTACAATCCAAGTTATGTTAAACGTCTGATTTCAATCGACATTATACTCATTACAAAGTCATCGTAGTTGAAATTACATTAAGTGTATAATTACCGAAATCATCTTGCCCATATCATCACGTACTCCGACACCAAAAATCGGGTCATTTTTAAATTCAATAGCAAAAATACATGTTTAACATTATATCTTAATGCACGTATCTTTATTCAACTTTTTAATTTTGTAAAACATCTGTCATAAATAGAAATTACAATCTTCAATTTTATCGGGAATAGTTTACCACCAATTTCCAGGCTTGTCTATGGGACATATTTTTCTGTCCCATTCCCATCCCATCCCATAGCAATTATGCCAGTCCCATCCCATTCCACGGGATTCCCATTGGAATACAATTCAATAAAACTTGTTAAATTTAGGTTTAGCGTCTACCA